GAATGCCTCTTAGGGATCTGGGCAGAGGACAGATGAGGCAGGGAAATATTGTTTTCATTATAAGCATTTAAATACTATTTTATTTTTTGACCATATATATCTATTACTTTGGAAAAAAAGTCTAAAAAGACAATACACTTAATTATCACCCTTGCTGCTTCCAATCCTTCACAAGCAGTTGCTTTAAGAAGACGCATTACGAAATCAGGCCAACAGGGTCCTCTTTATTTTAAACGCAGCCGCACTATTAAACTCTCAGGGATCTGCATTTACTTGCATCGCTTTGTTTCCCTGACCAACGAATGTGTCTGCTCCTCTCCGGGAAAGGTGAGCGACAGTCTGGTTTTGGGTCTGTGTTAGTTTCCTGGGGCTGCTGTAACAGAGTACCACAGACTGAGTGACTTAGACAATAGAACTTCAGAAATGAATCGTCTCATGCTTCCGGAGACTAGAAGTCCAAGATCAAGGTGTCAGCACGCTTGGATCCTTCTGACGACTGTGGGGAGAATCCATTCCACGCCTCCCTCTGAGCTTCCGCTGGTTTGCTGCCAATCCTTGGTGTTCCTTATCTCACAGAACATCACTTTACCTCCGCCTGCATCTTCACATGGCGTTCTCCCTGTGTGTGTATCTGTGCTCAAATTTCCCCTTTTCATAAGGACACCAGACTTATCTGATTAAAGCTCCATCCTATTCTAACATCCTAACTTAACTAATCACAACGGAGTCACATTTTGAGTGATTACAGGTTAGGACATCAACATATGAAGTTTTGCGGGGACATAACTCAATTGATCACAGAGCCCTTTGGAGACTGGGCATTAAATCAACTGACTTAATACTACTAAGTAAAATACTTAAACTGAGGCCTGTCTCCTTCATTAAAAAGAAAGACCGTGTGGTTCTGCTGGGCATAAGATCAAAGAATCCACTCTGCTCTGGGAGAATCAGAACTCTTAGTGACACTTGCTTTCCACCAAAATAAAACTTATTTATTAAGTTTTATAGTTCAATAAAACCTGTTTTATTATGATTTGTAAAGCATTCTGAAAACTTTAGTTGGGTATTTCAAAATTTAGGTTGATTATTTCCATATTTACAGAGTGAAATATTATATTAGTCAAGCCCAGAGGACATGTAGCATTTCTAATCGATGTTTATTTGCTTCGGAGCATTTCGAGTAATGGCTAGCATATAATGGCTTCGACTGGATTTAAATAAAATTCTGCTCATCGTCTCACAGTAATTACTGCACAGGAAGAAAATTATTTATCGCAAGGCCTGATGAGCAGTTGCAGAAGACGGTCTGCTGTGACGAGGCAGCAGTGCAAACAGGCAGCTGTTTTTCATGCACGAGGGCGTTGAATTTAGTAAATGCATGTTAATACCCCGACTTTAACATTTTATTATTGTTTGCCAAGAAACACTCAGTAAATAATTTAAAGATCGGCAAGATCGTTTCTTTCCTTTCGTCTTTTATTGCTTACGATTTGGTGTTCTAGATCCTTCTGGATATATAACTTAGCTCTGATCTAAAATCTGGTTTATAGACATGCTTTATTTTTTTTAAATCACTAAAATAGTTCTTTTAAATATACAAACTGTTGTAGTTTGTAAATATATAGAGAGCAATTGAAAGGGTAATATCCCCTACAATTTTTTTTCACATTTGTTTTCATGCATCAACCAACAGGCAGGAAGAAAGATGGAGCAGAAAAACTCCTGTGTATTAGTGGGGGGTCCTGTCATGACCTGAGTCTCACTCCTTGCTGAGCTCTGTATGAATTCCACTGAAGAATTACGAGGGAAGTAAAAGCCATGTTTGTTACTTTCAAATCAGGGTTTTATTTAACTCGTGCATGACTAATCTAATTACAAAAACGATCTGATGAGGGGCCTTGTGACCACAGAGGTGAAGCGAGCCTTTTTACTTGTACACTCTACCGTCCAGGGCCAGTGACCCCCTTGCCACTCTTCTTGTTAAGTTTCCAAAATGTGGACAGGTTTGTCAGGGATGCCCCTTCTTAATATCTAGCTGCCAGGAATGCATGGGTGGGACAATTCGGAATAGGGACCCCAGCCGTCACAGTGGGCGCTGGCGTAAGCATCAACGTGGCTGTGCCGGTGTAGGCAACTGAAGTCCAACCTTGTGCATGCAGATGTCTGAGGCTTAGCGCACACCTGAGCCCTAGACATTCGAGAGCACTCGAGAAACGGCAGCTAAGGAATGAATGAACCACCTGGACTCACACGGAAAGGCTCACTGTACTCAAGAGAGTTCACCAGACTTTAGAGACAGTCTCAGGAGTGGAAAGAAAATAACAGGTAAAAGAAATGGAGCATCTGATGGCCTTGAGGTTAGAGTAGGGTAGCTGTTCTAAAACGGTGGATTCCCAAAGCTCTGGAGGAGCTAAAAAAGTCCAAGCTTTCGCAGCTCACTTTGGCAGGTGACCGTGGGCTGGTGCTGAAAACACACAAGACTCTCTAAGGTTCCTTGAGGTGTATTCGTTTGCCTCTGTTTCCTTTTGCAGCAGGCAGTGCGATCACCTTTGTCTGGATTTGCATCGCTGATGCTGTGCCTAAACAGAAGTTGGCAGAGCCTCCTGGGAATTTCTCGGTACCCTCAGTCTTCTGCCAGCACGGCTATTTAGAATGCTTTGTCGCTACAGACTGGCTTCCTTCTGTGCTAGAATGGTCTCACGGGTGCTCACTTCCTATTTCTTTTCTAGAGTGGGAGCTCGACCAAGGTGTTTGTTGTTTTTCGATCGTATCCATCATGGCCACTCCAGAAACCATGAGCTTCGGCCCATCAAAATGTTCTGACAATGTGATCTTTGAAAAAGGTCGACTTCAGGCCTGAAGTTCAGCCAAGCACAACAACACCCTGCCTCTGGAAAGGCAGAAAATATGTACTGAAGTAGCAATTGCTGTCCCTCTGAACAGATTTGGCGGTGACAGCTTAAGTGGCGTCATGGCAGAAGACAGCATTTCCTCTTAGAGAGGAAGAGGACAGAGTCTTGGGCACCAGCCCATGCTGATGGCCATGACATGACATTGGGTACAAACCTCTTCTTCTTCTCAAAAGGAGCAGAATAAGAGGCATACATACTCTCTGTGGATCAAGGACTAGCATCTTCCTACAGCCAGCGTTTCCACAGGAATGAAAACCGCTTGACATTCTAAAGAGTTTATCTGCCTCTGATATCTCCAAATGAGGCTCACGTAGAAATTTTTGATGTTTCCAGGTGCATACAATCAGTGGCACCCAGCATTGGTCAGAAGCAGGGCTAGGGCAATGGAATAGCCGACTGTCGGTTCCTTCGTACTGGCTTCACAGATCGGAGGCACCAGGTCTGTGCAGGGGTCGCTGTCATGGGGCAGAGGCAGTGCTGCCATCTCTTTTCTGGTTTAAGCTATCAATCATCTCGACCTTTTGCACGTGGCCAAGTTTCCTTGGCAAGGAGATAAGCCACAACAGAGGTCTGTGCTTCTAGACGAAGGTTTTGTGTTGGAGCAAATAGGAATTTTGGTAAAATCCAATTCTTCTCAAGTCGTGAAATTGATGCAAACGGCACAAGGTGTTCTTTTAGTTCTGTTGGCTTCGCATGTCCCTTGGCAAGGCCTTCACGCACAGAAGGTCCATGATGTTTGTTTTCCGCCACAGGCACTGAGTCCTTTCTCTTGCAGACACAGCCCACGAAAATAAAGATGGTTGGCCACAGACGCAAAGGCAGGGTACATGTCCAGTTAATTAACTCACCCCAAAACTATCCTACACACCACAACATACGCATGCTCACAGTTTTAACCTCCTCTGGCCCACGCCATCCCATGTTAGTTTAGTGCAACACATTTCCTTAATAACGTTGCAACCCTTAACAACTAATTTTTCTTCACAAAGAGAATTCTTCAGTTAGAGAAAGAAAAAAGCAAAAGAAAAAACAACAGGTCTGGTACTAATTCAGAGTGTGAAAAAGACATAACGGTATCTAAAAGGCTGTAAATTTAAGGAAATGTGCTGACACTGGGAATCTCGACCCAAGAATCAACACGTAGTTATGACTCTAGCTTGAGTGATGAGTTTCCTTAAATAAACAGTCACATAGACTTCCTCAGCATAGCTACAGGGAAATCCTAGAGTCGAGGCAGGTCAGAGAGTGAACTTTGCAACCCACTTGCCAGATACTTGCTTGAATGGGGTACCTGGGTGAACCCCAAACCAAAGAGCACCTAGGACAGCGATATATACAATCGAGAAGAGTAACCTGCAATCCTATACCGAGGCCACTAATGTCTTTAGCTCTCCAACAAGTAAAATTGCACATTTAAAAAGTGAGGGGTGACAGTGCATGGCTCACGCTTACTGTGTCCATACGTATTCCAAGAAAGGTATGTGTTAAATGCTTTACATGCTCTCATGGGTCTATGACGTGGTTATTTATAATGATCTTCATTTTACGACACTCACAAGCTCTACGCTCATGGAAAGACTTTCTTTCACATTCACTTCTGAAAAGTTCCTTGATATGTAATACCACATAACCAGGGGACTTCGTGGGCATGGCTATTTTACTCAAGAGATGAACTGTTAAGTAAGATAAGCTGTCTGTTGTTAAGCAGAGTATAAACCAGAATATATACTTAATCAACAATAACTCAGATACTTTGTCATTTGATCGATTAACGTCATTCTAACAATGGCCCGTGGGTATTATAAAGATGCTGCAACTCCTTCTAAATCAAATGACAAAGACTGAAGTATGGTCGCGGGATTTCAGTGTGGGTATTGTGTATTAGATTCTAATTACTTAATGTGCTCATTCCGTGTGTGTCGCACTTGCTGTGCCCTTGCTTGTTTCATCGTTTGCAAACACACCCTGGAACTGCCTGTGTCGTTGGCCCCGTGCGGGGCCTGAACCCTAGCACTTGGTTAGCGCATCTGCTGCCGGAGAATGGGAAACCGAGCTTGAGTCAGCCGTGCTGGGAAGAAGGGCTCTAACCTGTGACCAGCTCCCGGATCTCCAGGTCGGCGGTCTTGCGGAGCAACCTCACCAGCGCTGGGATGCCACCGCAGTTTTTCAGGGCGATTTTGTTGTCATCGTTGGCTTTCCCATACACCAAGTTTCTCAAGGCTCCGCAGGCACTACGGTGGACTTCCGTCATCCGATGGTCCAGCAGGTCCACCAGGAGCTGGATGCCTCCTTGTCTCCTTATCTGAAAGAGCAAAGGACACACTCTGTGCCTTAGAGAAGAAGCTTTCACTACTTAAACCAGAACAGGTTTTTTTTTTTTCACAGGAAGTAGTTAATTAATCGCACTGACCTGAATTAAGGCACAGGAAGGGGAGGGAAAGCACGTGCTCGTTCTCCTGGATTTTATTGCCTCTACTTGCTTTACGACTCTACTGATAAAAATCCAAATGCATTTCCTTGCAAGCTAAGGAATTCGGAAAGGTGATTTTAGCTTCCTAATGGGTGTCTCAGACATTTTTTCTCTATAAAAAATATGCCGTACACTAATGGCATGAAGCAGATGGAGGACCAGAAGAATGCCTATCATTCCTAAGACTTATCAAATTTAACCACTGTTTTAAAGGGCTGCAGGATTGATGTACACAATGTTAAAATTATGCTTAATAGGGACATGCTCCCAACATTTCAAAGGAAGCAGAAGCTAAATAAGAAACCAGAAGAACAACACATGGATTTTCACCCGAGATGACCTGGAAAATAAAGTCACTCGCCATAAGCGCTCGTCAGAACACTAGCACATAGGTATGTTGCGCTTAATTTAGGTATTTGATTAATAACAACAAAATCACATTAAATGTTGGTGCTCGTTTTACTCAAAGAAAATTTTGATTTTTTTGGTAAGTGAATTAAAAAACAAAAAACACCTTGCCACATGTTCCTACATGTGTGTTCTTCCTGTCTAATTTTTAGATTTGTCTAATTTTCACATACAAACCATTTTGTGGAGTCTTCATTACCAAAGCACTATTTGAACATTTCTTCATTTATATGAAAAAAATAACACAATTCGTTCAGTAACATTATTTTATTTTTTTAACTTTAACATCCCTCGGGATTGAAGAATTGTAACTTGGCATGAAAGAACATAATTTGACACCTTCCCTACTTAGTTTTCTTCTTCGAGAAAACTCACGCATCCCATGGATGTGCCTGGACACATGGCTAAGTCCTGGAACTCTTTCGAAGATGCTTGAATGCCACTTGCTCTATGAGGCTGCTCCAACCACACTATTTAAAACCACAATCAGAACCATACCCGCTCCCCAATCCAGCATTCATGTTTTACCTTCATCTGTGATAGGATTCTTCACAGTGCTTGCCACGTTCTGATTTCTTTATTATGTTTATTGTTATTGTCCATCTTCTGCTACAATGTATGATCTTGGAGGGAAAGTCCCTTTGTTTCGTCAACTGATAAACCCCTATCCATACCCCAAGTTCAAGGCCAGACACTTCGTAGATGTTCAATAAATGCTTGTTGAGTGAATGGAGAGAGACAGTATATTACTCATTACAGTAGTGTTTCTCAGATTAGCTAACGCTCCGCTTTTCAAAATTGAGTAATAGCCCTCTTTAAAGGGAATAAAAAACCTTGTGAACAGCTAGAAATATCTCCTAGGGGCTACATGTAGCAGCTTTTCTGGAACCAGATTACAAATAAAATGAGGGTATGTGTCATTCCCATAAGGTGGGCCATCTGACAATTCAGACACGCCTGTAGAACTTATCATTGACAATATGAAAACAGAAAAAGCTGAAGCCCTCATAGAACTCGCGGACTCTTACGTCCCTGATCTGGAAAGCACGGATGTGGTGTTTTGCGTAGTTTACTTCCCCTGAGAACAGGACCAGGGAATAAAGAGGGATGGCACAGGGGGTCGGGGCCATCAAAGGCGTTAACTTCTCTGCGGTGCCTGAGCAGCGGTGGCAAGAGCATCTGGGGAAGCCGCCTGAAAGGGGTTATTGGGTCGATTAAAAAAAGCGAGAAAGGACCCCAAAACAACTTTTTCACAACTCAGTTTTCCCCAGGGCCTGCTTGGCATCCACGCAAGAGAGATGAAGTCTGTCTCACTAAATGCACGTGTTCCACACAAACTTCTGGGTTCTAACCACGTCAACCTCCTTGTATAAGTGAAATATCCTTCAGAAAGGGTATTCTACTTGTACGAAAAGGTTAAACGACGAACGTCATTTTCTCTGGGTTTGCATGTGTGTACTTTGCAATTCTCCAGGTTTATTTTCGTAATGATGAAACCATTAAAAAGAGGTAACAAAGCCATTCTTACAGTTAACCAATTGGTTCTCTATCAAAAGCAGATGGTATAATAAATCTATTTTATCTATACATCTGTATTTATGTTAGCTCTACCGTACATTATAGTTACTATTCCCAACTCATGATAATATACTTCTCATTCATATGACCTAATGAATTATGCTATTAAAATATTATTCCAAAGCATTAACAGGGAAAATGAATTCAAAACACATAAATGCGATATCAATTCTTAATGGTATAATACGAACACAACATGTTCAGTGTGACCCTAATTAATGCCATATGTCCAAACTTATAATGAAATTTTAAGTTCTATGTTCATCTATTTTTAGAGAAGCACAGATAAGACGATAAACTTTTTTTTTTCTGCTCTTACTTTTGAGGGTCACCGGATCATCAACATTAAAAACTTGTTTTCTCGGGGTTGAATTTTATCTAAGCATATGACAATCCCACCTTTCTATCATACTAATCTCCTGCAGGTCTGCACACACACTATTTGACAGTAGGAAATTTACTCTATTTGACATTTCGTGAAAATACGTGCAAGGCCTCGGTATCCTGTTATTTACATCAAGAACTTCTAGTTAGTCCTGTAGCCTAAAATAAATACCTACTATCTACAAAGGTGGACGGTGTTTAAATATTTCAAGGCTTCCCTGGATGTCCGTGCTGACAGTCACTCTCTCTCGCTTCTCCAGGCTTGTATCCTTTTGGATTTTTCCAGTGAGGCTGGACAGCTGACCCAGGAGGGGCCGCTCTGTGGGACGATGGTTAGACTGCTTGTCTGGACTGCCTTTGTTTCTAGTAGCGAGTACTTGTTTTACAACTCACTGAGCAGATTATTTGAACTTGAACTTGGCTCATGGCAAATCTGTAACAACAATGGCTCTTTAGCAATTTAACATGAAAATGATCCTCATTTAAATGCAGAAGGAAATGAGGACACCGTTTCCTATCCTTATTTTTTAACTTTGTTGTGGACGTGTCAAGAGAGTCAGACTGAAGACACAAACAAGGAGAGGAATCTATTGGGGGAAAAAAGCACGGATTCACAAAATCAACTGAAAACCTTTCAGAATTAATGATAAGAGAATTCAGCAAAGTACAAGCTAAAAATTTTAAAAATGAAAAGCTTTATGAATATACATAAATCTATAGTTTACTTATATACTAAAAATAATCAGAATTTTAATAAAAAAAATTTCATTTAAAATAGCAATGTGGTACATAAAACACTAAGGCACTAAGCATAAGAATTAAGTAGTTCCTATATGAAGAAAGCTGCATAAATTCATCCAGATACTTAAAAGCAGATGTGAGTGAAAGCGGAAGGTACCACGTTCCTGAATGAGAAAATGCAGGATTGTAAAGATTTCCGTTGTGCCATGATTAATTTAAAAATCGAAGCAGTTCCAATTAAAACCCAACATATTTTAAAGTTGTTTTTGGACATCATGGTTCTCAAGTTCATCTAAAAGAATAAATGTAGGGGAAAAAAATCACAGAACGAAATGAAGTATGGAAGGCTGAATATGTCCTAAAGCACCAATAAATAGAACGATATGACAATAGGCCAAGAATCAACACAACAAAGAGATAGAAGAAAAATCTCAGAGAAATCCAGCCATCTACACCCCCTTAGGATATAGTCATGATGAAGTAGGGATTCGATACTGAGAATCAATGAAAACAGGCTCACCATGTGAGGGGGAAACGACATTTGATTTCTTCACATTTCCATAAAATAAATTCCAGATGGATTAGAAATGTAAATGTGAACAACAAAAAAGAATTCTAGGAGAACGAATCAATGAATATTTCTTACTGGGATAGAAAGACCTAAGGTTGATAATGAAGCCAGAAATCATAATGAAAAAGACTGAAAAACGTACACGCATCAGAAACGACCGTAGGTAGTGAGCGATAAACTGGGAAAAGTTTTGACAGTGAACGTGATTAGACAAACAGTTTATGTCCTTACTTTAGAGACACAGATGATATGACTGCCAATGTCACACAGCGGTGGGTGGCAGAGTCAAGACTCAAACCGAGGCTCAGAGTCTGTGCTCTGAACCCTTACAGCGCAGTGCCTCATTCTGCAGGCGTTTATCCGCAAACGGACCACGCGATGGTTTGCAGGTTGAGACCCTGTCACGTGGTATCACGCTGAACGTCTTTCGTCTTCCTTGCTTTCACTGCACAGCATCACGTTTGTGATATTTTATCCAAATCAATAGATGCAACAGTTGTTCATTTATTTTTCCGTCTGGGACGTGTTCCTCTGTAGGACCACACCACGATTTCCTTTTTGAGTCTCACGTTGATGGATATTTGGTTGTTTCCAGCATTCTGCTTATACAGGCAATGGTGCTGTGTACGTTTGCATGCACAATGAAAGAGTTTCTCCAGAACAGACACTTAGGACTGGTGGGTCTAGATTTTGCATATATCCAACTATATGGTGTGGCCCAAAAGGTCGTACTAATTTATTCCCAGTTCGGAGAGAGTAAGAGTCTCCTTGACCACACTTAGCATTGTTGACTTCTTTTATTTTTAACCAACCTATTGAATGCAAGATGATATCTCTTTTTAGTTTTAATTTGCATTTAGTTACTCGTAAGGTTAATTACTAGTAACCTTATTGCTAGTAAGGTGAAGTCTTTGAGTAAACTCTGCAACAAAGAGGTGTAGAATCTACTTAAATAAAATTAGTCTTTTACTGAGCAATATAAACAAAACAAGTCGTAAGTATAATGAAACACCTTGTTCATGAATCAGAGTGGATACTGAGAGGGCTAGGAATTCTCCAAAATGTACATACGGTTTTCAACACATTTTAATCAAAATTCAGAAGTTTTCTTCAACAAGACAGAATGATTCTAATTTCGTCTGTAATCTTA